CCCCCTGCTCAGAGCTAGCACATAGCCTACGCCCGTCATAAGTGCTGTTTTGTGGATTTGAGTAGAATGTGAGTCATTCAGAGCTGATGCACTCGTAACAGGGGACTGCAGTCTCAGTTTCATCACTCAGACTGTTTTTATTGAGAAGTCACTTATACGTCTCTTGCTACAGATCCGCGGGGTTCATGCTACGCCCCTGTACTCTCTGGATGCGTGGCACACAAGTCAGAAGTAAACTGGAAGTAGATCTCTTTCACAGCTTTGGCAGGGTAAGAATCTTGCCTGTCCTCATTCCAACTGCAGTCAATAGTTTTATGGGCCAAACCAATACAGTGGTAGACAATGTGCCTCTGAACAGTTTAAAAGATTACCTGGCTTCTCCTCAGAACCCTGAAGGGGAAGAAACAATTCTGGCAGCTCATAAAGTCAGATAGAGCCCAGTTGCTAAGGTAACCCAGATGATAAGAACAGCATACCAATAGGCAACAACAGGCACAAGACTCACCTGCCTTTAGATTCCCCCTCCCCAACCAAATGCAGAGCGGAATCAAAAACAAGAGGCAGGGTGGGGCTCTGCAGGGGAACAGCCGTGCTCATCCTTCTAAACCCTACAGATGGGGTAAGTCTGCCTCAGACATGGAGCTCAATGGGTTTTATTGGGTCCCAGCTCCAAGAGGACAGGGAGCCCTTGGGGGGAGCCCAGCTGCACCTACCACTGCTCTACAGCACTCTGCCTTTCACACCCACGTAGTCGTGGCATTAGGATCTGCGCTGGGCAATGCTCGAGTAAAGGGGTAGTTATACCTGTATCCTAAAGTTTCAGTGCCAGTGTTTGCCCTGGATTAGTGAACAAGCCTTTCAGTTCTAGAGAGCTGCTATAAAAAAAGACACTGAGAGCTGGAAATCCCAGGAACCTGATCAGCAATGGATTTCCCCTCACAAGAAACATCCAGAATTGTATCAGCGAGTTTGAAACGACTGAATCAAAAGTGAGGTAAACACCAGCAGGTCATTAGGTGAATGTGGATGTTTCTAAGCCAACCTCTACGTGATAAAAGTTAGGACAAAACCAACCCTGTTGTAGTCTGCCTCTTGCCAGGATTCGTGTGTCTTCCTTTAAGCCACTGACAGGTTTCTGTTCAGATCTATGTCAGTTCCCATTGCGTGCTAACAAGCTGAGGTGGACATAGATATCTGAAAAAAATGACATTTCTGACACCGAAAGAAAGTGTTGTGGTGAAAATCTGCCCTGGCTGAAGGTCAACAGCAGAGCTCCCAAGGAAAGCTGGGGGGACAGAACGTGGGGATGGCTCCAGGGAGGGTTTCTGGTGGCTGTGGTTCCACCAGAGCTGCTGCTCATGCCTCAGCCTACGACTGCTGCCAACGCAAAAACCCCCGCCTCTCCCTGCACCTTGGGGAAGTACCTTTTATGAGATATCAAAGTCCTAAAATGTTTGATAACAGAACCCTCCCAGTCAGAGGTGTATGGGGAGTGGAATTTCCATTCTGCAGAAGAGCTCATTTCAGGACCCTCTAAAAAAAAAAAAAAAAAAAAAAAAGGTAAAAAAAAAAAGGTTGGTGTTTTTTTCACCCACAGAGTGAAATCCTCGAGATTATTTCAGGGGAACCAAGATGGAGTATTAAAAAAATTCAGAGCTGAAAGTAAGCCAGAGTTAGAATCCTTTGCTGTGCTAGAGTCCAAAGTTAGGAGCTGACTACCAACAAACACTGTTGCTGCTTTGAATTAGCAGCTCCAGTGGGGAAAATTGTCCATTACGCCACTCTGCTAAACTCCCCTTCTGAGGCATTTTTAATATTTTTAAGTGCTGTCTTAGCTAGATGACTACTGATGCCTTTAACCCTTGCCTGGTGTATTTACAGGGGATGCCTTTGGATCATCCCAACACAATGACCTTTAGTTCTGACAAAGTTACGGAAAAGACTCATGCACATTGTGTTGAGAAAATAGCTAAACATAATTTCTAAAATCAACTCTAGCCATTGCTGAATAATATATGGCACCTTAATGAGTAACATAAAGATACTTTATGCCTCTTGCTTTGCTAGAAAAGTGTAAAATGGCCTTAGAGGAAAAGAGAGTAAGACCTTCAACTTGAAATTCTTTGCTGTAAAAGGGAAAGTGCTTTACCAGTAAAATTAATATTTTGAGAAACGATCTTACATAAAAAGGTAGGAAAGATTAGTCAGCCAGTGAGTAGAGGTCATTATTTTGTCTGACAGGAAGTCCAGAGCTCTATTGATCGACCTCTTGAAAACAGAATATTTGTGGACAGCAGCGAGCGAAAACATTGTTTTCTTTCTCAGCATCAAGTAATTGCATGCTGCATTTAAAAACAGACTCTATCTACAAGTAAACAGGTTTATGAGGCTGTGAGGTATCTTAAGTCTAGGAAGAATTCCTTTTACAATTTAAAATATCTGTGCTGGGAACAGAACATGTTCTGGAGCTCAGCCCAATGTTTTAGTCAGCAGCCCATGGGGCTTCCCTGGTAGCTGCTCCTCATCACTATCTGCCCTGAAAATCACCTGCATGCAAATGGTTAAGCCAGGAGAAAGTCAAGGCTCTCTTCTCACCAGTGTAAACAGGTAAGCACTCAGCCCTGGCACCTGACTATTGGTAAATCTTTTCACTACCCAACCCATCAGTCTTCCCCATCCATAAGATGGAAATAATGCCAGTGATCTTTTAAAAAGCTCTTTTTAACAATACTTCTGTATTGGTGTATCTTTGCAGTTTAGGAGCCAAGTGTTGTAATTTTCACAGTCTCTCTCAAACCGAAGTAGTAAGCCATGGTTGGTCAAAAGCCTCCATGTTAACGATAGCAGTGTCAGTGAAGACAAGGACACTCAGGTGGAAAATAGATTTATGCTGACATAAAGACAAAATGCTCTTAAAATGAAATCGCTTAACGGCAAAATCTCTAAACTGAAAGAAAGGTAGGTACTTTCTTTCTAGGGGGCCTAAAGTGTGCTGCCGTGGAATTCAATAGCAGCAATGAACTTGACTTCAGGTATGAAACAGGGTCTGTCTGCGTTTTCAGGAGCAACTGGGGTTTTGTCACCTTTAAATAGTCTGTGAGGTCATTGTAGGGTCCAGCTACAGTTCACAGCCATTACACCCCGAGCAGAACAGCACTAGTTTGTGTCTACAGCAAGTGAGGCCTGTTGGTGTTTACAATTAAAGGACACAGGGCACTGACAGAAGGACACCGGCACATTTATCCGTAGGAATCTAAGATGTTAGCAACCACCAGCTGTGTAATCCCCCGACCCTTGGCCATAAAGCACTGCCCTCATCTGAACTGAATGCCTGAGTACACCGCAGGTCTTTTTGGCATGAAATACTTCACCAGCTCCTTAAGACATGCCACCCATGCTGGTGGGTCTAAGCAAAGCCACGAGACTGCAAGTGAAACCACTGAGGCCTGCAAACAGAGCCTGTGTGTAACACTTTAAACTACTACACGTAATTGTTAGGCAATTGTGTTAGACCCAAACATCCCCAGGCTTGGGCTCTTGCTCTGCTAACAAGACAGGGATGGAAAGGAGGTGGGAGGACTAGTTTTAGGGCGGGTGTCACTGGACCCAGTGCACAACATACAGAAACCAAAGATTCCCAGTTATGTAAGAAAATTCCTGGGTTTAAATTAAAAAATTACACCACCACCTGCTCTCCATAGCTTTTCTTACATTTTTTTTCAGTCTAGGCTTCACTCTTAGAGAATGTTTCCTTCTGGAAAATAAAAATTAACAACCCTCCCAATCTTCCAATAGTACTTTATGGAAAGGAAATCTCCAGTGATGCAACCAGAAGAGTATCTTCTCTGCCACAGCATTAAATGCATTTCTTAACTTGTTGAGGAGAGAGTGGGTAATAAAAGGAGACAGACAAATGTCAGCCAGACAAGAATGTCAAAAGATTAATTTCTCTAACCCATCTCTCTATTTATGTGAAAGGATCACAGCCCTTGTTGTGCTTGATGTCTGACGAGGTGGTGAGATATGTACCTTCTGAATTTAAAGTGGTTAAGTCTTAAGAAAACTGAAAATCTTCCTCATTAAAGCTGAGGCAGCACCACATCTGTAACAAATTTAAGACATGTAAGGACAAAAAAAGAGCAAGGTGTTTTAAGATGCATCTCTGTGGACATGTGTAATACCCCACAGGAGCCTGGTATCACGTTAGCTCGCTGCTGACATAAATGCACAGAATGTTTTTGGGTGCGGTGTGTATTTACATCTCTCAAAAGAAACTGGTTACTAGGGCATTCAGCATATTTCTGAAGTGGTTGGATTCCCCTTCCCCCTCTCACTATCTATTTACAGTTTCCTTTCAAGTACAACAAACATTTTCTGTAACCTCAGCTTCCTGATTCAGCTGTTGTGATGTCAGTTATTTACGATAACAAAAGTGAGACAATGCCTGTGGTTTGTGTGGGACAAAGGCAACCTTGTTTCTGCAAAAAGGGACAATCCTACTGTGAGAAGCACAGGAAAACCTACGAAGCAGGACTCTGAGGTGATATTTCATTAGTCCTGCCATCTCCATAATAACAGGCTTGACACTGCATTATCTCAAAGGCCACTGACAGAAGGTTTTTTTCCTTTCCATAGGACTGGACACTAATGTGAATGCAACTCTTGGAAAATCACCTCTTTGCAGGACAAGGCTTTGGAGATTGGTATCTTGGGAAACAAACGGCTTGCTAGTGGGGAGGGAGGAGTGGTGTCAGGACACGCATGTTTCAATACCAATTACGCACTCTGTGGTCACGAGCAAGTCACTCCGCACCTCTGCTTACCTGCCATGAAACTAGTTGCATCATATTTAACAGCCTAAACCCCAGATGTGGTGAAACTTGCAGAATGCCAGTAAACTCCTGAGGTCACAGAGCAGCAAAAGGAAAACGAGAAGCTCTTAACACACAGCATGGTTAGTTATGAATGAACTTTGGTGGAGCCTAGAGAACGTCACGTACCTGCTATTCTTCCGATTGGCATTGCGTGGTCCTCAGGAGGGGATACAGACACCATGATGTGGTTCATATAAGCTAACTCTTCTCGGTGGGACAGGTTGATTGGCTTTACCTCCCTGTGCAGCCCATCCTCAGACAACCTTGGTGGTTTGAAATCGGAGTGCCTGGGGTTCAGTATCAAAGGATGCATGATAGGGCTGGGCATCAGCTGGATGACCCTGGTGTTCTCCTGGCGAGGGCTGGAGGGCTTCTGGAGCACCTCCGAAGGAGGCGGGCAGTGGTTGTTTTCTATCGGGGACACTGAGAGAGGGTAGGGCTCCTGGTGGTTGTTCTCTTGCTGATGCCTTGTCCCCAGCACCCTGTCAGCTGGGGAGAGGCGACGCATAGTGTTGTCCAAAGGAGACTTCAGTGGCCGCTGATCGGGATCTGGTGATGGACGGTGGTTGTTGGTGATGGGTGATCTAGAACGATGCAACAGTTCAATGGTTGGGGGGTTGTGGTGGACTGTTTCTGTGGATGGTCTTGAAGGTCTCTGGACAAAGCTATCTGTGGAGAAAAAAAAATCAAAAATACAAATTGTCTATATTGTGATCGAGGTGTAGCATCTAACTGTCAAACTGCTAGCTGGGCTCACTGCATATTGCTGTCAGTTTGGAAATGTTTTTTTATTTGTGAGACCTACAGATGCCCAGAAAAACACCACATAAATGCAGAGAGCTATTACTACACAGAACGAAATCAGTACTGTGAAAACAATCTCCCTCCGCCACCATTTAACGGTACTTCCTGGGGAAACGTGTTAAGAGAAATCCCGTTTTGAGACGCTGACTGGAACACACGTGAAGAAAGTAAGTTCTGATTCAGCTGTACTAACCGTGTTTCTGTGCAAATGCTTTGAAACTGATCTCCTCCCATTCATGTCTCTACGTGTGGTTCCTGTTATTATACCATGGTGAGAGCACCGTAAGGTAGAGGGCAGAGATAAATAGGGAAAATGTCTCCAGGAAAATATTGGGTAGTAAGTTTTAGATGGTAGGGGCTTGGGTCAAGGTAGAGAATATCTTAGACTGAAATACAGACTGGGTTATCTAAAAAAACCCACTGGTGGGAAGCTCCTAGTGAAACACTAGCTAAATTTTGTTCCTGCCTTGATTTTAAGACTGTGTAACATCCTCACAAGGATATCTTCACCTTGTTTTATTTAGTCTGTGCTGTCTACTGGTGGGTTGTCCCATATAAGCACTTACATTTCTTCAGAAGGAGGACTTCTAGCATCACTTTTGCATGAGCATACCGAGGGAGATAAATTACAGCTCTAGGTCGGTGTCTTTAGGTATTGACGTTCCTCTCACAAAACGAAATGTTTGACATAAACAGTGCAAACTTTCAGCTTAGCTAAGGCCATCAATTTTGACTTGGGAAATTACTGACAAAGAGGAAAATACCACCAGAGCGCAGTGACTAACAGGTTTTTATCTGAAAAACAAAGATCAAATTTCAGTCCTGTTTGCTGAAAGCCTTGGATGATAAGAGAAGGAAACTGCTGGGTACATGTCAACAACTGAAACAAGTAGCTGCCAATTTGTGGCTGCCTGTTTGTTCACTCCATTTGCTCTGATCCTCTGTAACGATCCTCTTGCTCTCTTGTCAAGGCAGTGATACTCGTTGAAGACCCTGTCAGGGTGAAGACCCAGGGGCTCCTGCTGACCTGGAACTCAGGCAGGCATCAGGAGAGAGATCAGCACTGGCCCAGGGAAAGGCCTGAACAGGAAAAGCTCTGGTCCTGAGAAAACGTGCCAGGCAGTGACACAGCACCGACCCTTTTGCCTGCTCCATGGGCTGTTCATCTATACAAGGACACTAAAGTCTACAGAAAACCTAAAATTTTAAGCAGAAACTGTAACTAGAGTGTTCCAGAACACTTGTTTCACACACTTGTGGTCCCAGACAAGAAAAACACATTTGCAGAGCTATTTAAGGTACTCACAGTGAAACAGCTGGAGGACATGAAACTCCACAGTTATATATTGGCCTTGTTTAAACCCAAACAGTTTTAAATACTCATCAGTGGTCAACTCATGTGGGATAACCCAAATGATGTGAAGATCAAAGAGCAATTAATTTACAACCTACCCACCTCTACGGCTGTCTTTTCTTAAAGACTCCTTTCTTTGCCACAATAGAAAGAGAACCAACCCCAAATTTTGCTCAGCATCGTATCTCCCACAGACCATCCTCCCCCATCCCTGCACATACAAATGCACCCTGATCATTCTTGGCCTGTAAATATACACCAGAATATTGTGTTGTTTGTGCTACTTATTTCAAGTGCCTTGGCTGCGGGGAGCAGCTACCTTGCAAGCAGAAAGGAATGCCTTGCTGTGCTTTCTACCAAGCTCTCTGCATACGTTAGTTGGTTCTGACAAGCTCCAAACAGCAGCAGACCTATCTGTCTGCTCCCAAACCACCGTGATCCTGAACCAGGACAGTGTGGAGACAAGGTAGGGGCCAAGGAACATTTTAAAAAGCAGCAAGAGGAAAAACCACTAATGGATACACACTAGTGTTCGCTTTCATTCAAGATCTTTCTCTTTAAATACTTAACTGAAAAATCCCCTCACGGCCCAAGTTGCTGTTTACCATAAAACAATTCAAACTCATCTCCGAGAAGTTCCAGTGCCACGAATGACCCTCAACAGAATAAAATCCTCATTGCATTCATTCCCTGGCACATCTGATGACTGTAAGTTGAGCACATACGGTATATCATTTCCTGAAGGAATTAGATTCACTCATCAGTCTGGCTCTTCATTCCGAGCGACCAACACTCTTGAGGGGAAAGCTGTGAGAGGGAATTCAGCTCCCAGGAAAATTGCTGACCTATCTGATCCACATAGGGATGGGTGGGGCTGCACTCTGGGAGTGAGCAATTGCTGGCATGACAGTCCCAAAGACTGGCACTCTTTGCTTATCCATAAAAGAAGTGCAGAGAATGATAGTGTAAGCTTCCTGTATGGCACCCCATCAAGTGACTCAGTGCTGAGTCAGAAGGACCACTGGAGATGTAGGTAATTCACTCTCCGTTGCTCATCCCTCCACAGGGACAGAGACGGCCACAGGGCAGATCCCAAGCCAATGCCAATGCATCCTGGAGATACCCTGAACCACTGTCAACTAATTTCAAACAGTCAAACCCACTTTGCTTAAGCTAGTAGAAAGCCACTGAAGGTAAATGTCGCTCTCATCTGATTCTGGATTAACTAACTTGAAATGAAAGCACTTAGAAGCAGGATCATCAGTATATAATCTATTAGGAAATGGGCAAAAGAGACAGTAGCAGAAAATGGAGAAAGATCAGCAGAGTAAGGAGGGATTCTACAAAAGATCTATCGCCCATCAAGTTTAACCACTCAACATTGTACTGAAGTACCACTTTGTTACAGTTTGAGAGTTACTTGGGGTAAATTTCTCCTTCTCACATTCACTCTCCTTTATTACTAAACTGCATTCTGCTGAGGGAAAATGGTAAGCTTAATAGGGCTGGTTTCTCCCAAGTGACCCCGTGAAACGGGAAGAAGGAATGTCAAAATACATAAATAAATAAATTCACCTGCCTATAAATTCGTGGCACAGAGATTTCCTGATAGCTCAGTCTTGTGGCAGGCAAGCTGTAGTTTCTTTTCCTTGTTTTGAAGTTCCTCACAGCAAAACAAGAACTAATTTTTGTCATTATAATGAAAACTTTTAAGTAATAGCATAGAGTTCTCTAAGCAAAAATAGCGGTACTATCATCAGCCAGAGTATTGTGAGGAAGAAATCAAAGTTGTTTCTTAATCATCCTGTGCTCCGACAGAAGCTGGACTAGATTGCAAAGCACTTATGTTTTAAGTGACTTACACAAAAGGCCACCTCAACACCCCTGTGAAAAATCCTCTCTAGAGTGAAAGTTGCTCCATATCTTTAATGTAGGGGTGTCTGAGAGGGCGGCTAGTATTTTGTTTGAAATTTAGAAAGGGAACACTTGTGGGTGAATGCCAAGCTTCAGGAAAAAAAAATGGAGATTTTAATAATGGTCTCTGGAAAGTGCTTATCTGAATACACTAGGCAAGAGTCTCTTGCACAACTCTGTCAAATCAACCTCATCCTGACCTGTAGCACCCTCTCCTAAGCTGAAATATTTACACACCGATGTGGAAACACTTTGGAGTGTCCTTATCCCACCTGCTGCTGTCCTGCTTTTGGCTTAGTCTGAGTTTTGCTGGTGCTGTTTGATTCTGGCTTGCTCAGGCTGGCCAGGGGCAACTTCTACAGGCCTGACAGCACCCCTGAATCTTCTCTTGCAATCCCACGTTGAATCTTGACATCATTTATGCATCTTTTCTCCAGTTAGCAGAGACTAGGGCGATACTCTAACTCACTTCTGTTCTCTCCTGTTTACTTCAAGAAGGAACAACACTACTTTTTTCCTAGATTTTTTTTTAATTAAAAAAGTTAATTCTGCCTGATGCTTTCATGGAAAGGATCTTCTGAACGGCTTAGGCTTTATATTTTTCTGTTATTGGAGAATACCAAGAAGTACTTTCTTGTGTATATTTTTAAAGAAAATAAACCCTCAATTTTCCATTGAAGGAAGCAAACTAACATTTTGACCTGTGCTAATAATGAGTAGAAGAAGCCCAAACCTGCAATTCCACAAACATATCTATTCTTTCATCACCACCTTTGACAGGCATGGTGTGTGTGGGCACTACTAGAAAGCTAACTAATAACCTAAGCAAGTAATTCTGGTAGTAAATAAAAAAGAGAAAACCCACAGAAAAAACCTCTCAACATGAATTGTTCAATCAGCTCAAAAGCTGAGCAACATGATGGGCTCAGTGCTAGGAACCCTGTCATGATGCGATGACAGATTGTCAGCTGAAGTGAGCTTGAATTAGATGTTTTCTCTGAGGCTGCCTTGCTCTGCAAACAATTGCATCGAGTTGCCTCTCCAGGATACTAAAAGTCCATGAAGCATCTTTGTCTACCTAACTGGGAGTGAGGAAAAATGAATCAATGGGGTCAATAAAACTTTCTGGTATTTTTTTAATCTGCATCTGGTGTAGCTTTTAAGCAGGCTTGGAAGCAGGACAAAATAACAGAAGATAAATGGAGAATGGACAGCTGACTCCCTAGACCAGCTGATTGCTCTAAAGCTATGGAGACAAAGGGAGGAGAAGAGCTTAATTTAAGTAACTTTAGAGCAAGAAAATGACATAATTCCTCACAGCCTTACCCTACACACCTCTGTAATGGCAGCTCCCATAAGAATGAGACAGTTACCTTCATCATGATTCTGGTGTAATATGACCTCTGGCTGAGCATGGATAGAATTCCCAGGGTGGAAGAAAGGTGTGAAGAGCATACGAGCTTTCCTTTGCTTCAGGATATGCTGAAGGAGTTCATACAAAACATCACCTGAAAGACAAACAGCAGGAAAAAAGGAAATGAAAACCTACATACTGCTGAGAAGACTCATTTAGCCATCTGATGCATGAATTCATGGCTCCTGGGTGCTATTTTCAGACCCAAAAATGCTTGCAGGAAAATCCTACATTTCACTGTTTTGCAAGGTTCTTTCCTGAAAGGAAAAAAAAAAAAAAAAAGGAAAAAAAAAAAAACCCACTGCACATCATGATTCTGTGTGTGACTGTGGAAAAATGGAAGAATGACAGGACATGGCTGTCATTAGCCCAACAAAGAGTTTTTTTCAGGCTACATGACTGCCCATCCAAGAGCTCTAAACCTTTACAAGCAGCAGTTAGTTTGGTGTCCCACCTTCTCACAGCCTCAGTTTTTTAGATAGACCCCTTAGGACACAGGGTTTTTAAATGCAGAGCTGAAGATTTATGCAATTTATGCAGTGAGTTGCTGGGAGCAAAGCTGGTGCTCTTTAATTACTGAACAATTTAGGCTTTATGGGAGGAGGAGATGGAAGATGCTGTAAAGCCTCTCCACGCAGCATTGGTGCCTCAAGGCCAGAGGCAGTGTGCTACTAAGATACTCCATTCTAGGAAATCCACAGGACGAAGAACTCTCGCTTTGAGAAGTTACTTTGGGATTGACTCAAAGACTTGAAAAGAACTGAGAGATTTAACAATCCTGAACACCCTTGCTGGGGTGATGACTCCTGGAGGCGCTCGAGTGCTACAGGGACCTTGGGAACTTCTGGACATCACTCTTGGTGTCACGGGTTGGACTCCTGAAAAGTCCAAATGGGATCCTAAGGCTCGTTACCTCTAGCTACTAGAATTTGTATGGAACTCACTTAAACAGGCAATACTCAACTACAGATATGATGCAAACTAAGGACGAAAATGCAGCGGACCTGGTGCTCTGTATGGGTGAATCTCTTCCACAGAGATGTCCGCAGGGAAGTGCACTGCACCACGCCGACATGTTCTTGCCTGAATTGATTCAGATGCTTGTCTCTTGTTGGGCTGCAGGCAGGCTGGTCCTCGCTTCCCCACCCCATTCCCTGGCACCAGAATTGTTACATCTTTTCCTCAGTGAAACGCGTCACCACAAAATCTAGTAAACCAATGGACTAGCTGCTTATTTTGTGTCTTTTTATGTACTACACCTTGTATTGATGCCATTCCACCACCATCATCTACATGAAGCTTATGGGTACTTTACATTTCTCCTGATGTAACTGGTTGCCCATTTCAAAGTGAAAACGTACAACACAGGGTGGGAAGTCTCTTGATTCCTAACTCTGCGTGTTCTCTTCTATTTGTCACTGCTCATGTTACAGAGGAACAGGTTGAAGCAATAACATAGCTGAAAAGGAACTTGATGAAGTTTCACTTGGGAAACCTTGGATTTTCTGGCAGAGTTTTCTCAAGTGTGGGGGGTTTTTTTAGCAGTTGTTTCTATGGGATTGTAAGCTGTATGCCATTTGTCCCTTGTCTCTATAAACTGCCAACGCTCTACTTGTGGGCAAGTTTAGTGTCTTAGCGTGAAACAGTTAAAGCCATCCTGCTTTCCAGAGTTCAGCTTCCTTTATTTTTAGCATCTTGGCTGCTTTTACTGTCTCAGCAGTGACTTTAGGGCATTTTAAAAAAGGTGATTGCAATACCTGAAAATCTAATTAAAAACAAAGCCTCGAGAACCCAGTTGCCTTTTCCATGTTTAGTACATGAAAGGCTAAAAAGTGATTTTACCACATAATTTGCATCTTTGAGTGCAATAGTGGCATAATCATAACTAGTGCCGTTAACACTCCAAATTTGTACCTCTTTTGATTTGGCCTGACAGACTAGTGAAAACGTCCGTTTTTTTTTTTTTTTTTTTTTTTTTTTTTTTACTACGAAGAGTTATGTTTCTGCACCACCCAGATGCAGTACTGCTAGTTAAGAAGGTGAAAAGCGTTTTTCACTCCCTCCCTCCTCAGCTGCTTCCCTGGGCAGCCCTAAACAGGAGAATGGCTGTGGGGCTGGGAGCCCACTTTATTGCTAGGACCACTGGGGGGAGTGGATGCAGTTCTCCTGGTTTAACCATGAGGGGAAAGGATACGGCTTTTATGTAGCTACACTCCTGAAAAACTTCATGCCTCTACGGCAAACATTATTTCATAGTTCTTAAATTTCACATCTAGTTAATTTCTGGGAAATGTGGAGGCAATGTCCCTTTACCTACAGTCATCTAAATTTTCAGGGACTGACTCAGATATCCTCTAAAAGGTTTACTGTCAGTGGGGAATACCTGGAGAGGAGGAGGAGGGAAAATTCAAAGGAAGATGCTTTCAGTTTGGTTATTTCTTTCCAAATTTAGGTAAATAAGAGCTTAACCTTCTGCGTAAAGTGAAGACTTGCAAGTCAGAGACTCTTCTCTGTGAATGCTCTACTTCCAGCCTACAAACATTTTAATCCTACTCATCTCTAAGCGCCCTCACAGCACACAAGGGGAAGAGCAGGGGCATAACTTGTAGGCAGCAAGGCACTGGGATGGTAAGAGGAGTTGCACACTTGCATATAATATATATATATGTATATAGGTGTATATTATATATTTATCAGTATAATTAATATAAGATACATAACAGTGTCCCTTACAGTCCTTGCCCACATCCCCGCTTTCAATGCTCCTTTTGCCTTAAGCAGGGCTAATTTTTTTAATTAAATGATTCAAAGTGGTGCAACAGAATGAAAAAAAAAAAAAAAAAGAGACGTTTCTAGGCATCAGTTTTCACTACAGTATTACACTGGCAAGAGACATTAATGTTTGGCACCTCCTCCTATATAAAATTAGCCCTGGATTTGAAGCACATGCTTAAAAAACTTCATATACACTAAACATAAGCCACAGTTTGTGAGGCAGATTCTGCAGGAGGATGGTTGTGGGGGTGCATTCAAGGGAGCTGCCAAGCAGCTTGACGCAGAATTAGTGCCATGGCTTGTTTATCAGCTGGATCCAAGCAGCACCAGCTGTACTTCTGCACCCAGGCAGCCTTGCACTGGGAAGCCTCCTCACAGCAATTCTGTCACCGCTTGGTCCAAACTCTTTGATCACCTATAGTGATTGAATTACGAGCCTTTATATTTAACAGGAGTACCTTGTATGGTCACAAAAGCAAAGCTCGCAATTCGTATTTAGTTAAACATCCCTGACAAAGGAGGGCAGAGACTTACTCTGTAAAACTGGAGCAGACAGACCGCAGGGGATATAAATACAGGCAGGCAACATACACATTTCCAAATCTTCTTTGTGAATAAATGAAGACATAATTTGAGCAATAGGCAGACTGATTCACACACCTGTCTTGTGCTGTGCCTTGGGCTGGACTCCAGCACGTGAGAGAATATGGGAAGGTAAAGCAAAGCCCACAGGGGCTGTTAAATAGAGGAAAGGTCCCCCGGGGAGGAGTTCTGCAGTCACTTTTAGCAGCACTGTCAGCCAAGCCAACTGTGAGGCAAAATGCTAATATGGGCTCCTTAAAGAGGCTGGAGCACTTGATGAACTTGCTGTAGTTGGGTCTGTGAAAAGATAAGCCTTTACAGGGAAGGGCTGGAAGTCACGCAGTGCTGCCAGAGAGGCTGGCTTTCTGGGACTTCTGCGGGGAGTTTTAACTAGAAACAGGTTGGATGTTTGGGTGTGAGTTTGGATTTGCATTCAAATTAGCAGACAACTCAGGTGCATCAGGATTTCATTCCCTCCTTGTCCTTTCTGTCCTTGCCTCATGCAAGTGTCTCTGTCCTCCCTCTCCTCCCCTCACCCAGTCCACCCCAACAAATGTGACTGTTTCGTCCTCTAACCCTTTCCAGATTTTGCTGCAGCTTCCTCTATTTTCAATCATAACCTTCTGTAAACAATCCCCACCTGAATGAGGAGACCTGTATCGAAAGTCCTCTTTGGTCAGGAGCAGCAGAGCCTTGCCGTTCATCTCAAAAGTGTTGCTCTCAATCGGCCTCAAGGAAAACTCCTTCTCCGCCCACCTGAGCCACTGTGTCACATCATCCCTGCTCCAGTAAATGGGCTGCAAACCTGCGGCAGGAAGAGACCATGATTGTGTTACCAAATCGAGTCAAGGCATGGCAATACAGGCAAACATCAGCGAATCCCCCTTTCTCCCCACACCGCAATGTGCAAAGTCTCAGGGGAAGCTGTAGGAGAGGAATGTCACATTGACGTAGAATTACTCTAAGCACTGGACTGTGAAATACTTTATTAGTTCAGGCACTGTGGTTTATCTGTGACATGTTGAGAAACAAGAACTGCCTCAGCATCCTGAAAAAAGCTTCTGGGACGTTATTTCATTCCAGGTTGCCACTGTGAAATGGGATTTTCCTTCAGCTGCTCCTTCTGAGGCAAAGCCCGTAGCCCCATCCATCCTCAGAACGTATCCTCCCATAGCAGAGAGGCGGGCTCTCTCCTCGTGCCCCCGTAAAGTCATCAGTCAATAATGAAAAGTAGTCAGATGTAAGAGAGCTGCGGCCACGCTTTCCTCTAGCTGGCTGGGGTCTGTAAAGGAGGGCTGGTGAACACAGCCACCGTAATGGCGTGTCTGTAAGTGCTTATCGGTGAGGATATGGCTGAGAAAGGTGTGTCCCAACCAGCCCACCCCTCCGGCAGATGCCGTTACGCTGGCAGACTATTCCCACCCTGGAGAGGAAAATAAATGCTGAGGCTGTGGCACATTTAGCACTGCTTTAGCTTGTGTTTCCTGTACAGCAATAAAACATTACCAACGGAAATCTGTCCACATAAGGGTGGCATGTCACGTTATAGTAAAATAGCAGGTATGTTCAGTTTGGGCACAGATTTTCCAGGTCTCCAAGGAGAATCTGGCACTCCCTTTCTCCCAGCCATGCTCGTACAGCATATAGAGCCTAGACTACTGTGTTTACTCACAGGGGCCCAACCCAGTTACCATGAAAGTCAAAGACCTTTTGCCTGCTACCTTTGTTGGGCCCAGGCAGAGAGGCTTGGGAGGTGTGACAATTCAATATCTATTTCACAGACAAATTTAAAATATCTTCCTTCCCCTGGAGAGAAGGCAGCACGATGAAGAGCTGTTTATACCCAGGTAGAGAGATTATCTCCAATCCACTGGGAGATAAAAGCTTTCTTTCCTTTTCCCCCTTGCGAGATGACTCATTGTTTGACTTGCTACAATGTGTTGCGTAGAAATGAAAGCTTCACACTGTGCATAGGAACATAAAATTTGCTGTATCTGATCAGATCTCTGGTACACAGCCTCTGGCAGGGGCTAATACCTTATGCTTCAGAGGAAGACGAACCTCCCTTCCTCATATTGCACCTGGCTGATTGTATGCTGCGCATGGGAAGAAATTTCCTTCCTGGCACACCATTCTCTGAGATCTGATTACCCTCCTCCTACCAAGCACTAGAAGAAACCTGGGAGAGTTGTACCGCTCCGTTTTGTTTTGCGTTTTTTACTTCTTTAACAGATAGGCCATCCTTTTTTTCTGTTTTAGCAAGAGGTCACATGCAGTGAATTACATTCTGCTGCTATGCCAGATTCCCAGACAGCAGCTTTGGAAAGTCCCAGAGCCACAGCTGCATACAGAACTGAATCTCAGTCGGAAAAGGAATTGAGATCGAGCCTGAGAAAGGGTCAGAGCTGGCCTAAGGAAGGGACATCTGCATGGCAGCAGCAAGAATTTCCATTGGCTTTCAGCTGCCCCTGCAGCAATGTATTATGTGCCACACAGAAACAAGAAGTAGCATTTATTTATTTATGAAGGACTTAAATTCTCTTCCCCCCGTTGAATTAGGGTCTGATTACCGGGGTCAGAGTTTTCTGTTGGACGTTTCTTTTTGAAGGGACTGGGATGAGGTGTAGATCTGCTCAGAGACATGGAAACCATCATCTAAAATGCCAGAGTGAGGTTCATCTTTTGCTGAATAAGGGGCTATTCCTGCAGAACACATTTCAGACCCTTGGCCGCTGCTGGGCAGCAAGTACAGCTAAAAGAGAAGACGTGATGCAGCCCAACTGTAACCTAGGAAAGGGTTTAAAAGACCATCTGAGGAGCGCTTGAAAAGCTCATGCATGGTTTCTCTTAGCCTCTCCCTTTGCCACGCCGTATAAGTAATAAATTGCCCAAAAGGAGCACTGTCATGTGGAAAATCTAACTGGGCTTCTGATGAGTATGAGGTACAAAACAAAACAAAACATCACTGGGAAAATCAGGCTGACACGGGCAGAGCTGTATGAGAACTTCACATGAAGTGCACGTTCCCTCAGAGATAACAACCTAATAAATAAATCACTCTCTGTACAAACATAAATCAACGTTTCCCATGTGCTGGTATTTTTGCCTTCCCTTCAACTAATACAGAAGTACCACGTCTAAATGGAGTTTGAGCTTGATTGGTGCTAGTCCTGGAACGGCCAGATAAGCTACACGGACTGGGACAAGGCACGTGTGCTGTGCTGGCAACTCTCAAACAGACCCAACGCTTCACACCGCAAATCGGGTCTCCGCTGGGTTTCCGCATCATCTCCAAAGCTTGTGAGAAAAGCCCCAAAGTAGTATGATCTGGGACCACGTGGCTTCTAGTTAGTGAGACTCAGCAAGCAGCCTAACGCAGCCTGGCTATCGCTGAAACGAGGAGGCGGATGCACCACATCTCTCCACCCATGGGGTGGTACCATAATTAAATACTTAAATAGCGTTCAGAAGATTAAAAGTGCAATAAAGTAAGTTAACTGCTTTTCCCTAGATGGATTGCCTCTTCTCTCATTTCCCTCCCTCCCCGCCTTGCTGCTTTCCTGGGAAGTTTTTCTTCCAAAAAAACCCTCTTTAGTTGCATCCACTGCACACCCATTTGCTTTGTGAGGCTGAACCAGTTCAGTCACCGGTGGCTTTTCTGGGGGTGCAGACCGGTGTTGCTGAGAAGTGCTTCAGAAACAGGCATTCAAAAAATAATTCTTTCATGTGCAGTACAGCAGTTACTAAACTTGTACCCTACCTTCTTTGCCCTTTCTTAAAAAGAAGCAGTTGGTTTTGTGAAAACAAGGGCATGAGAGGGTTGGCTTTGCAGCTGAAGGGATTTTACAGCACAGCACACATAGCTATCAGTAGGTCCTGAAAATGCTTTCCTATAGTTTCCATGAAAAAAAACCCTAATCCCGCTTATACAATTTTTCTTTTTTTGGATGCTGTTTCTTATTTTCCCCTCTCCATCTTCTCTTTTATTGTCATTCCCACAGTGGAGGAAAATGGGCTCTTTTTATCTCTCCAGTTTTATTCTCTGTGAAAGCTAACAGCGTTGTCTTCAACTAACAAAGATATTTACCAAGCAGAATAAAGTGAGGAAAATGAGTGCTGTGTTACAAAATGAGGACAGAGTTTTGCCTGCTGAACTGACTGTTGAAATCAGTGGGAAGGCTTTGCTGCTTTTAGTGGGTGTGGATCATACATGGGGGATGCTGCCTTTCTCCCTCTCCGTGGCCAGTGTCACTACAGACTTTAGAGGGTGAATTTTGACCTGGGAGTTGGACCTGGCTCTGCTCCCATCTCTGCTATTGCTCCACCGGCTGAAATCTGGCAAGTATTCCCAACCTTGGTCTCCCTGTCTGCATAGTGTGAAAATAAACAACAAAAACTTCTTGAACTCAGTAGCTGACAGCACGTTAGACAAAGCCACGTAAACCATCATAACCCGGCTCTGCGAGACCCAGCGTATTCTCTAGTCTGTCTTCTGTCAGCTTCCAAGTGCCACCTCCAGCAGAGTAAAATACAGCAATTTATAGACACGTTTATAATCTGACAGCTTCATATGCATTAAACAGGGAGCAAAATTCGTGCTCACCTTTCTAATGCCGCAGGCTGGCACGCTGGCGTCTTAATAGATTATCTACTTCTGCTGCTTATTCCTCACTGAAGTCCTGTTGCTAACACTTGTTACACCAGCTACCTTATAAATGGGGAGAGTGATCAATTCTCATGCTCCAGGGCACAAGCTGATAACCATCTGGACTGCAGAAGAAATCCACTCTCCCCGTCCCTTTCTATTCTTGCACAGCAAACCCGAGTACAATGAAGAGGGACGGACGGGGTAATTTACACCTTCTACTTATTCCAGTAAAATTGTTTATGTATGTTCAGGCACTTACACACACGCACACGCACACACGCACGCCGAGCAGAATGTATCGGTCTGCTGAAGAGGAGTTGAAGCTGATGGTCTCTACCAGTTCACTCCTTCTGACAGTGAGCCCCTCAGGAATCTCAAGCATGGTCAGGTTTTGAGGTTGGAAAAAAAACAGAGCGCTCTGCTCACCTAGTATAACCTTCTGCACAAAAAACCTACACAGCCAGCAATATTTGCATCTGACCACAAACTTCTGGTGAGGTTACAACTTTGTTTTTTTGAAGAGATGGAGCCAACCTTGAATCTTGCAAAGCACTCGTATTCCGCATCGCCTTCTTTGCTTTGGAAGACAGGGTATACGTTTTATGGTATGAGTTGCTACGAACGGTGTATGTAACACACACGTCTAAAACATTAAGTATAATGTACCGTAGGCTGTTTTCACCCTGACTCATCTTGGAACAATCTAAAGACACAAATCCAAAGCGAAGTGTGCTGTACAGTACCACCGAGAGCTGCTGTTCTCTTTTAGTTTTGGTATGAGGACGCAGCTACACAACACCACGCACGATGGAAACAGCGTTCACACTAAGTTTCGTCTAACTTTTTGTTCCACTTCGGCCGGGCACTCCATCCTTACGCCTGGCTGCCTGGCAGGCAGGCTGCTGAGGCAAGAAGGGGCTAAAGACAGACCCCTCATTTATCCGTGCTTTCTGCAGGGCAGAGAGAATTGTTCTCACTCCCACGCCGAAAACTACTTGGCGCACTTGGGCAAACAGCAAAGGGGCCAGCACATGCAAATCAGCAGCTGGTTTCCAAACAGCCAGGGACAGATGCATCACCACGGGCAGCAGCAGGCAGGCCAGCTCTGACTATAGGGCAGTACTTGAGCCTTTAGTAGGAGAACAGTGCTGGAGAAA